CAACTCACAGATCACTAATTGCATATAAGAACAAAATACATAATTGCATTCCCAAGTTTACAAACGTGTTTCACAGACCACACCCACAGTTTATCATGCTTATCTGAAACAGTTTACAAATGACTGAGGCCCTGTTAAGGTATTTTTTTTTCCAGCTTCGATAATCTGGGATCGTTATTCAGAGAATAGCCTAAGTAGCCAATAAACAAAACAGTTATACTATGCCACTGCTTGCATAGAATTGGTTTATTTAGAAGTTTTGTCAATCTGAAGTTAATAATCCTTTATTCAGCCTCACTAACTGAAACTATTGTTCCCTGTAAATTGTGAGTACTTTTTTTAAATGAATTACTCATTGGCATATAGTCATTTAAAACCACACAGATATGTGCTGCTGTATGATATATAGATAACGGTCAGTTATCTTCAATCTTTTTACCCTCGCAACCCATGTACCTGTTTGTTGATTTTCTTTTCGCTTGTTCTACTGATATTCCTAATAGGTTACCATCTGCTTTGTCTTATAACTGTTGATACCAGCGGTTGTCCTAACATTTCTCTTATTTCTTCACTCTGTTTGAATTCACCCCATTTAATGTTTGTCAGTTTCATCAGGCGATTGGTTTGAATGCTTTAAACTGTTGTTCTATATCTTTAGTAATTCTCAAATTTTTACTGGCATATGTGTTGTTGTGCATCAGTTTGACAGATCTGATACATTTTTGTGCAGACTGTTCGTTCCTTGCCTCTCAGGCAGATGCACTCCAACTTCGAAGGAAGCTCCCAGTTAGTCGACTCTTACGACATGCTTTTGGGTAGGCAGTGGGTCTATTCTTGTTTTTCTATAATAGGGCCCCAAAACCCACACGGGGGTCTCTTCTAGTGATAACTTTTAATTTTTCTTTTCATGGCAGTGTGCTTCTTTGGATTATTTACCTGACATCAACATCCATTGAGCTGAGCTGATTATCTGAAGCAATGAAATAGATACACATAATTACAAAAACAGGACTCCAGTCTTGAGGCTGTTTGGCTGTTAAAGGAAGTGGTTGTCAGTGTGACACGCTGGTTTGACCATCTCAGGTAAAAGTATATTTTTGTGTATATATTTATTGATGAAATTTTTTTTTTTTAATACTTATGTGTTTTTTTTCATATTTCCAGGTTCGTTCCAGGGCCCCATTTTAAGGAAAAAAGAATAAACACACTGCCACCCTAACTGGCATGTAAAAAAAATAGGGCACAATAAAGGTACTTTCTTTGAAGTCAAATGCATCTGCCTGAGAGGTGAAAACCCAACAGTCTGCATACAAATAAGCCAGATCCAGTAAAATGGATGTGCATGCAAAATTCAAGTTCTAGAACAAGGCCAACATGCAGAAGTGGAGGAAAAACCAGAACTTTCCGCCAGAGTTTACAGCTGGTGAACGTAAAGAATAAGAGGATATAGAATGTATAGTTACCAATATTTTTAAATTCTGTGCCTAAGGAATTAACAACAGAAAGAAATTAGTCTACTTTCTTCATACAGTTTGTGGATTATCTTTTTATTTTGCATTCAAATTATCATGTTACTTCACATTCAACATGTGAATTAGCACGTTACTTCACATGTGCATTAGCAGGTAACTTCACATGAAACATGTGAACTAGCAGGTTACTTACAACATGTATATAATCAGGTCACTTCACATTCAGTACAGGGATTATCAGGTTATTTACAACATGTGAATTATCAGGATAATCAGCATGTTACTGCACATACAGGATGCGAATTAGCATTGTGGATTTGTGTATAATATCTGCTTATTTGTCATTCTATATTTTATCCCCTGTATTTTTCCTGATGAGCGTTACTCGAAGAGTATATTTTGTCACTGTGGCCAAATAACCTGGCTGTTTAAAACAGGAACCAAAAAAAATCATTTTCTGCGTTTCTGGAGTGTAACCAAACCATTCTAAGCTTTTGTTTGTCTGTCTTTTGTTTGTTTGCCCATTCATCTGTCTGTCCCTCCGTCCACCCCCTCACCTGTCTGTCTATATTCATCTCTTTGTTTTAAACTAAGCTACTGATGCATAGAGTGGTCTTATAAATGTTTAAAAAATATTTGTATGTCTCTTCTTTGTTTCAGGCTTTGTTTAATGTGTCTTTTTTCTATGACTTAATAATAAAATCTCTCATGGGGAAAAGTAAGAGTATTTACAAAAAGTGTTTTTTTTTTTTTAATAAAAAAAAAATGAACGTGATTTCTATTCCAATTATTGTTTATACTTATTTTTCAGGTATCCTGTGAAAAGATTTGCATCAAAAAATGAATGATGATGGTGAAAATAAATGGTCTTGTGAATTCTGCACATATGAAAATTTTCCAGCTGCCAAGAAATGCACCATGTGCTTCAAATGGCGAGTCCCGCAGTTGATTTCAGATACACTTAATGAAGAGCAAGACATCTACAAAATGGCACCTTTGATATCGAGTCCTGTACTTGAATCAAATACTCTGAGTTTACCTAGCAATGGTGAAGGCAGCAAGTGGTCTTGTGAATTTTGCACATACTTGAACTGGGCCAAATCAACCAAGTGTGTCCAGTGTTTAAATCCGAAGCGCAAATCCTCACCTCCGGCTTCAGGGTCTCAGGACAAACAGCAGATTTTAAGTGTCAACACATCGGAGAGCCATTCTTCAAGCCACATTACCCCCATTCGTCTGTCTCCCAAAATCATCAGCAATAATGCTTTAACAGCCAAGTCCTCCAACAGCGGCAACAACCTTACCAAAAACCCACCATTTCATAACCCCTCAAAATGGACCTGTCTCAGATGCACTTATGAAAACTGGCCCCGGTCATTGAAGTGTGTGATTTGTGGAGCCGTTAAGGAAAAGATTATTGGAGAAGGCCAACCTGGTGTTGGATCAAGCCGGTCGTACGACATTTCAACTCCACAACGCCAGAGCCCCACGTCATCAGTAACTGGGCGTGGCTTTATGGAACGGTCTGAACAGCATGGCTACCAGGCAGGGGCATCTGCCTCATCGTTTGCCCTGTCATCGCCATCTACAAACTCATCCTCCCCTCCTTTAGCAAAAGAGAAAAGGCTGGCCATGTTGAGGTCCAAATTACGAGACTCAGACT